AATATAGTGATTTAAATAGCTACATAAGTACATATTTATAATAAAAAATCGTAAAAGAAAATTAAATGTTTGGCATGTATAAAAAATGAGATTTAAGGGCTGGGGATGTAGCTTGGTGGCAGAGGACTTTCCCAGCATGAGGGAGGCACTGACTTCAAACCATAAAAAAATAAAAAACAAACAAACAAACAAAAAACAATGGAGATTGAACTTCAAAAGAAAGATATATCCCCAAATCCTAGTTTTCAGAAAACAGGAAAAGGCTGATTTTCTTATAATTTGCCAAATATACTGGCTAAAAAATAAATTTGCAAAAGGATTCTGGAATATAAAAGAGTCACAGAGAAAACAGCAGGAGAAATATATATATTCAAGTTACATTTTAGAGCGGAAAAGGCCTCTGGAAAACAGATCTCAAAGAACAAGATAATACAGAGGAAGAAAGCCCCTGATTTTTAATTAAGTCACAACATCTTGTTGTTTCCAGAGTCAGGGAGCAGTTTCAGTAGCAGAAATCTTGGTCTTGTATTTGCAGCAGCCTTGGGAAAGCAGCAAAGAGCTCTCCACAGGCTGTGCCTGGAGGGCCCAGGGGGGCTTTCAGATTTAGAGCTCTGGTACTCCACTGCTGAATAAACAGCTCCGGATTCTTTAATGACAACAGCATATCAGCTCCTTTTGAGGTTACAGCACACATAAACAGGATCTGCCTCATATTTTCCAGTTGTAGAGGAAGGAGGGAGGAAAAAGGGCCCACAAACTTTTTACTGCAGTTAACTGTGGAAGATAATTTGCTTTTACTTGCATGCAAGACTGAAAAAAAGGAAGGAGAACCAGTGTGCAAAATGTCCCCAGAAAGGAAACAGGAAAACCATCACTTCCTCTGTAAGTGAGAACATTGGTGTGCAATCAAAGGGGAGAATTAATGAATGCTGAACTCTAGGGTTTTAAAAGGAAAGAGATAGAAACTTAAAAAGAGTGAGTAGGAAGGTTCTTAATAACTTCCTGGCTAGTACCCACAGAGGTATCAAATGGGAGGTTTTGGGGGCCGGGATTGTGGCTCAGTGGTAGAGCACATGCAGAGTCCTGCGTTCGATCCTCAGCACTACATAAAAATAAATGAATGGAATAAAGGTATTATGTCCAACTACAACTAAAAAAAAAAAAAAATGGGAGGTTTTGTCCAGCATGTGCCCTACTCTTTACTTAAATATTAAAGTGAGCTGGCTATCATGTTGGTAGGCAGACCAGTAGGGCTATCTTGTAGGATCCCTTGAAGTTCAGTACTGGCACTGAAAACTTTCTGGCCTTCTTTGAGAAGTTCTAACAGGGGGCTGGGGATATAGCTTGGTGAGAAGATTTGACAAAATACAACAAATGAAGATATTTATAGAATTCCCTCTCTTATATTCTTGGCCCAAGTCCCTTATTTGGTTTGGGACTAAAGAGCTAAAGAAAAACCTTCAAGATTTGTGTTCTTGACCAAGTCCACCAGTGTCCCCATCCCCCCAATATTCCTACCCCAATATTTTTCAGAAAGTTGCAGGCAAAAGGTACTTTGTACTTTGTCTGTATTTAAATGTACACCTTAACAATGCAAAAGCTTCATTTTGCTGTCATGGGCTGGGAAACTTTACCTGTAAAGGGCTTGATAGTAAATGTTTCAGCCTTTGCAGGCCATGCAGTCTCTATCGCAAGAACTTAATTAACTTTGCTATTGTGGCACAAAGTAGTCAGACAATCCATAAGTAAATAAATATGAAGGAGTTCCAATAAAACTTTATTTAGAGTGGCAGATCAGATTTGGCCCATAGGCTATAATTTGTGAGTCTTGGTATTAATTCTTCACTGTTCTTAAAGAGTAGCAGGCAGGTGCAAGAAACAATGGTTTCCATTTTATTATGAACACATACTAATTATACATTGCCTTTGATAGAAATGAAGATGTATTAATTAAATGAATGTAAATGCTTTTGAAAGTGCTACTCAAACATATGCTATCATACCTTCAGACAAAAACAGCCTCAATGTTCATTTATTCTGGTGAGATTTATAGGGACAAGTTAGAGGAAGTTGGGTAAGGAGTTTATGGGGAAGAAGACAATCATTTCTTCAACTCAAGTGGCTCATGGGTCCCTAGAGGTTGACACCCTCTATTCTTTGGCAAGCTGTCAAACATATATGATGATTTATTATCAAGTGAAGTCAAGAAGTACAAATTTAACTACTTCTGTCTAGCACATTTTCTGTATTTCTCCTGTGCTACAGTTATTTCATTTCTGGAAGGCAAGAGAGATTTTCTAATTGTTTCAAAGAAGACTATACTCACTGGGGGTAGGGTAAGGTAAGATGGTTGGTTAGCTGATAGTTGAGATGCTAGACCTGGATGACAGAATGTATGACAACTTTGTAAAGAACTGCAAGGTATGTGCAATCACTGAAGACACTGAGTCCATGAAATTGGTCCTAAGAGGAAATCAAAAACCAGTTAGGATCATAGGAAGGCGGGAAGCCAGGAAGCTGGCCAGAGGCAGCACTATCTATCCTGAGAGCCATGCTTAAGTTATTCGGAAATGCCCAGAAACAACTCGGGTAGGTGGCCATTGAGAAAATAATCTTCCATCAATTGTAGACACATTCCATTTTCAGCTGAATAATCCCTGGGTTTAGGCAGACAGAGCTGAAAGAATTGTAGTAGTCCATTTCAATGAACCTTTAGTTCAGAGCCTGGTGCCTTGCACTTTGTCCTAACTGATCCATGCAACATTCAAGATGGTGATGAGTCCAATTTGCTCATCTAGAATCTAGATAGTTCTAAGGCTAATTGGTTTGCCACAGGGATTAATGGTCCTGTAGACCTCTGCAGTAAGAGTCCAGTTTCACTCTGTGGATCAAGATATCAAATTATAAAAATGTAATTATTAGATAGAGCAGTCTTCCTAAGAACAACTGGTTAATGGGTCACTGGTTCATACCTGGGAAATAATGTAGCTGAGTGTCCCCTGAGTGTGAACTTGGAGAGCTCCAATCACCCCTTCAGATTTAAAGCTGCACAGAAATTTCCTTCAAGGAGAAAGCCAAGAGCCACAGGCAGCTGACAGGAAGAGACCAGAGAAGGAAGAAGAGGAAGGGAGATGAAATCAGGAGGGAAAGCTAGACAAGGATCATTTAGGGAGAAACTGTCTTGGTCAGAAAAGGATACTTTTGGAGCAGAGTGAGAGAAAGGCCTGAGGATGGACAGAGAAAGATCTATCAGGAGTTGGTTTCCAGCGTGGGACCTGGGACATCAAAGATGGGACTTAGCTCTGACTGGAATCAATAGTATGGAAGCCCCACACCCTTGGGCTTTTATGAAGTTCCTTTATCCCCTTTTCCTTGTAAGACCTGGTGAATGTTTTGAAACAATATCCACTCTGCCTTTTTTAGGTAGGAGCCCAGCTACAGCAAGATGGAGAGGCTGCCTTAGCAGAGAACAGAGCCTTATTGAGGCAGTTCTCTTAGGCTATTGCTCTTGCCCTTTAGTTTCTTCTTGACCTACAAGTTTCTCCATCACACCCAAAAAGTTGTGTAGGAAATTCAGGCTCTTAATAGATGAGTAGGTAAGAGAAAATCAGAATAAAAGCTGTTTTTTTTTCCCCTCCACTTCCTTAGCATAAATAGATAGTGGATATGTCTGTAACAGGACAAAATTATAAAACTTTACATAAAATGGAAGTTTGGGCTATCCAATCCAATAAAAACAGTAGCTTCTTTTAAAAGGCAAAACAAAACCATCTCTTTTATAAGAACTTTATTTATTTCTATATAACTGAGAAGCTTCAAGGAAACACAGAAAAGGGCAATAAAGAAGAGAAAATTTAATTTGGAAAAATCACATAGGAATAAAATCCCAATATTGCTGATATGAAGCCTTTACTCACAGGCAATTTTTGATGGGGTTGCATTAGCATCTTACTCCAACCTCACACATTCTCTAAAATTGGCACAAGGTTAATATCTAAGTTTGATACCTTGAAATGGACTTAGACTGAAACTTAAACTCATTAGGAAAGTAAAGCAACAATATTTAAAACTTTGGTCCTAAGAAAAAGCAGATAACTCGCAATCAGTTTCGTAAAAATGCATATTAATTCATTAGAAGAAATCAAACAGTCATCTCTGATGTCTTCAACAATTTACTTTAAATTCTTCACACTTTTTAAACTATTAAGGTCATCAACTTCCCACAAAAACTTCCAAGTGAGAAACAACTGAAACCTCATGCTCCCACACCTAATTTCAATCACGATTCTAGGGGAAACATTCAGGTTTTCTAACATTAATAGGATTCAGTCACATGCTCTGGCCTTAGCAAGTGTGAGCAAAGAGCATTTACTATCTATCACCCATTTGGTAATAATTATCCAAATCTATGGCTTCTTTTTCTGCATCCCTTATGGCAATGCCATGTGTGCATCAATAATAAAATGCTATTAATTTTTAATGAGTGACTTTTCTATTCAAGGATCAAAAGAGTTAAGAATTATGTTTGAAATAAGAAGGAAGCCGGATGTGGTGGGGCATGCTTGTAACCCCAGGACTCAGGAGGCTGGGGCAAGAGGAACAGAAGTTTGAGGCCAGCTTTGACAACTTAGTAAGACCCTGACTCAAATTTAAAGAATAAGAAGTGCAGGGATATAGCTAGCTCAGTAGTAGAGTGCTAATGGGTTCAACCCCTAATAATCCAAAAAAGAAAAAAAAATCTTCTAATGTACCATAGACTTGAATTGTCCAATCAGATTTTTTTTTTTAAATTTACAGTTTTATCAAAATGAGCTGGGTAGCTTTAGAGTATTCACTAGACTTCATGTCCAGGGCAGACAGATATCAACTCCTTCCCTATGACAAGTCCACAATTTCTGATTATGTCTGCACAAATGGACTGCTGGCTTTCTACTCTGTCTCCCACCCAACCCCAAATTCTGAAATTTCTGGCAGAAAACAGATCTGTCAAAACAGGTTACTTGTATTTTTATTGGTTCCTCCAGACCATGACGACATTTCCTGAGAGGCAGTGCCAGGAAACTATTAATGTCTGTGAAAGAGCAGTGAAAGTTCTTATGAGCATAAACTTGTCTGGTGCCCCAGGAGACTGCAGCCTGAAGGAACCACTTGATGTTTAGACTGTGCCACTGATTCAACTGGCTGTTATATCAGAACTGCAAAAGAAAAAAAAAAAAAAACACTATCAGAGGAGAAGAGGAGAGACTTTCCAAAGACAAATGTCTGGAACACACAACAGGCAATTCTTTCCTTTCTCTTAACTATTTGCTTGTCTGGAGCAGAGTAGCTGAGCATTAGCTAGGCAGCTAATAGCTGGCTTAGTTGAGACTGTCACACAAACTAGGTAACTCACTCAAGTAGTTAATGGATCCTTTCCCAAGTAGTTAATGGATCCTTTCCCATGCAGGAAGGGTAATAAGACTTACATCTGGCTGAGGAGACTGTAGCCTTCCCCCAAACTGGAAGAAAGGGTCCATTCTAACATCCAGGTGCAGAAACAGAATTGCAACTTTTTAAAATGACCTCAGCAATTCTGCTAATGCTAAGAGAGCATTCTGCTAGTGCTTACTGTATGAGTGCATGACACTACTGATCTTAAAGGAAGCAGCAGCTTTACAGAAGATGTGAAACTAAATTGGACAAAACCTGTTTGAGGCACTGGACTTAAGGAGACTTTAAAGTATGTCAACTGATATATTATTAAGTGCCAAAATCATGTGGGTACTGGCTAATGTTGTAACTAGGTTTGTGGAGCAGAAAGGTAGCTCCCTGTACCTTCATATCCCTCTATTTCACAGCACCACCTGCTGGTTGAGGGGGAGAGTGAGTTAAGTTGGACTTATCTTTCTGGATACCTATGAATTCATAAAAAGAAGAAAAGCCTTTGCTCTTTCAACTCTACACAGAATACTGACAGTGTTCTCTATGGTGGAATATTAAAAAAGAATGGCACAGTTCTCTTATCTTTGCTTCTGTCCTAGCCACCCACAGCCCAGTGATGAGTGTGTCCTTCGAGATGTCCAAACAGGAAATAGGAACATTAAAACCAAGACCTTAATAATATGGTCCTTGCATGCTCTTCTGGGTCATCTGAATCATGATCTCTAAAAACTAGTTTCATCAGTATCTTTAATCCCACTTCTAGATGAAGTTAATTCTAGTCTCATATTTAAATCTTTGCAGGAAAACTCTTTATATAGTCCCAATACAGTAAACACCCAAATTTTAATGCAGCTAGCAAATAATTCAATAAATCAAGGTTAAAGAATTTACTGTCATATAAAGCACTAGTTTTCATTCCTGGAATGTTAAAAAAATTAATCCATATACCTCATCAGAAACTCTTGGCTATATGTTCAAATTTGTTTCAGATTTTAGAAAAGCAAAAGGGCACTTATGTATTATATGACACTCCCAGTGGGTTCTTGGGCAACACCCACTAAGCAAACATTAATATCCCCACAGTAATATATAAGAATATTCACACTAAATGGTTAAAGACTCTAAATAGACAAATCAGTTCAGATCAGGTTTTGTAGTCAAGAGTGTCAGAGGTTCCAGTCCATGGTTGGTTGGATCTTGACAGCACAGTACATTACAGTGGGAGCACATGGTGGAGGAGGCACCTTCACCTACAGGCAATTATGAAGCAAAGAGAGACAGGAAGGGGCTGCCATTCCAATATCCCCTTTAAGGGCATATCCCCAATGACCTAACTTCCTTCTAGTAGGCTTCACTTCCTAAGGGTTCCACAGGCTGGGGACCAAGCCCTCAACACATGGGCCTTTGTGGCTCCACAAGATGCAAACTGTAGCAGTACTTGTTAGAACTTAATAAACTTGTGCTTTTGGCGGGGGGTGTTTTGGAATTCAGAATCAAGAATAAGTGATTTTGGGCCTATGCCAGCTAGTTTTGATTTAATGTGGAGGAAAAAAAAAAAAGCCAAAGCAGTGACCAGCATAAAATTCTTTAAAATTCTTGTTTGTTTGATTTTGGGTAAGTTACTTAATGGTTTGGGCCTTGGTTTTCTTCTTGGTTACAACAGGGTAAAGATGGTGGTGAGAATGACATGTGAAGACTCCAGGGTGAATGGAAGGGAACTGGTCTTCATCCCATGCCTACAGAGATCCAGCCCTATGTTAAGTGCTTCCAATTTTTAAACACTGTAAATAAGAGTGTGATAAACAGTCTTACAGTTAAACTTTGCACGTAGCCCTTATAATTTTTTGGGGGATAAATAACTTAGAATATAATTGCTGGGCTAAGCAACACTATATTTATAACTGTTCCTCTCTCACATGCTATCTTCTTCATTTCCTATCTATCCATTCATACATCAGGGTTTGTACTAACATTGCAAAATTGCCTTAAAGGCAATTTTTACATTTCCAATATCACCTATCCTTTATCTTTGTAAATGTCATGGATGACCATCAACAGAATCTGGCAATTTACTATGGGAGAAAAGGTAGTTCTTTGATTAAATGTACATTTCACTGATTGCATGGAACATATGTAGAAATCCAAGACAATCTTCCAAAATTGAAGGAAGTAGTTATTCCTAAATGGTCATTATTAGTTGGGACTCAGGTCTATTTGACTCTAGAGATATTCCATTTCCAGATCCCCTAACTCCTACTACCATGACATTTGAATTGTGTTGTGGAGAGACCTGAAAGGTCCTTGGAATGAGGGGTCTTTAGGATATGGTGTGAAACAAGGGCATGAATGAGCTTTGATTGCATGTTCACTATACTGTACTCTTTTCTATTGAACACATATACTGTGTTCTTCTCTATTGTACTATACACACAGAGCCCTCTTGGGTGGCTACCAAAACCTCTTTGAAATGTTAGCCAAGACTTAAGGTTTGTACAGAGACCACAGTAACCATTTTAAACCACTGCAGTATATATTCATCACCTACTTGCTGTGCAGTACATAGTTTTAAAACTACTTAACCATTAAACAGTTTATTACCCAGATCAGAATACTACCAAAATTTGGGTAACTTGATGGCCTAGGTAATCTTGTAAATTCTGCATGTGCTTCCCATTCCCTAAAGTCTAAACTATAGGCGTTAAATAAGCTTGTATTTGAATATCATATCTGCAAAATTCAGATGACCTGACAGCATTTTAGATGAACTAACTCTAGGTAAGATTTCACTGGAAAATCCATCATTGTTCCCAATTACACATAATTAATGGAAGAATGGTAGTAATTCCCTCATACCTAGAGATTCGATAGACATTTTAAAAGTCATCACCTTTCTTATAAATAAAACCCTCAACAGGGTGCTTAGTTACTTTCTTTCCAAGGTATAAGTTTCTATGACTCTTACCTGACTCACAGGCAAGGCCACAATAACTCGTGAACATGTTGAGAAAAGGCTAAGAAGACAGAAAGGGGGCTGGGAATGTACCACAGTAATAGAGTACTTGCCTAGAATGAGCGAGGCCCTACACCACACAGACACACAGGCACATGTGCTTGTGTGTGCACACACACACGAATGGGGGATCTTACAAAAAATAGAAGAGAGACCTGTAGAGTAGAAAAATGGGGTCAAGGGAGAGAGGAGGGGAGGAAAAGGAGGTACTGGGGAAGGAAATTGACCAAATTATGTTATGTGCATGTATGAATATATTACTATGAATCCCAGTACTGTGTATAATTATAATGTGCCAATAAAAATAGATAAATAAGAGAAATAACAGAAAGGGTCAGGATAATTCAGTATAAATAGGGATTCCCTAATTTAGGTCAACTGTGATCACAGAAAACTTCCTTATTTCACAAGTACAGTTTGAAAACATGGGCAAAGCTCCTTATTCCATGTGATTCTGCCCTTGAGTGTATATCTCAGTGGACCTGTGATGGTTAATCTAATCACAGTTCATGCTTGCTTCTTCTGTATACAAAGTACATTTGAGCAAGAAGTCTGTGTGAGACATACATTTTCAGGTGTTTCTCTGAAGAAGAAAAACATTCTTTTCAAACAGAATATTGTGGGAGAAAACAAGGAACGACTAGCTATAGTCACACAAAAATCTTCAATTTGTGACCCAGGATTTCAGGACTTGGTCTGGTCTCTGGGTGGTTTAAGAAGCACAGCCTTCTACATTATACTTGCTTTAATCATCACCATCCACGACATTACCAAACCATTTATTTAGTCTGTTTTTAAGCTCACCACATGGCAAATAACTACCTACATAAACAAAACATTTCAGTTCTATAACAATTCTTTGCAACTGAGACCCCTGGAGAGAGAAAAAAGTATAATTGCTGTCTGAAACATATTGAATTTTCTGTAAGTGGTTCTATAAATGAGTGATTGATTCTCAAAGAGGAAGGGTTGGGGGGAAACAACCCCACAAAGTGCTAAAGGAGGCATTTCTGAATCTTATGGATAAGGTAAAGCAAAATCACGATATCCCTGTCAGTTCTAAGCTAGCAGAAAGCCCAGTCTGAATGTAGATACTGACATGTGGGCAAGTAAAAATAGGCGCAAGTCTCTTTTTAAGAATAAAAAACATGTCTCTAACTCCTCATCTCCCTGCAGCAGTGGTTCTCAAAGTTCAGTGTGCATTAGAATCATCTGGAGGACTTTTAGAAACACAGATTGCTGGGCCTACCCCCAGAGTTTCTGATTCAAAACTCCTGGTGGTATGGCTCAATAATCTCTCTATCTAACAAGTCCCCAGGGATGCAGCTTGTCCAGGAAGCACAATGTGAGCAACACTGCCTTAAAACACAGAACATAGAATTACATAAATGGTAGCCAATCAATAAATACTTATTGATGGAACTGAATTCATATTGAAACACATTTTCTTCCCTACCTCAATGTGAATGGGATCTGACATGTTGGAGAAGTGATTAGATGTAATACAGCTGGTAGTTTCAACTGACGTGTGTGTGTGTGTGTGTGTGTGTGTGAGAGAGAGAGAGAGAGAGAGAGAGAGAGAGAGAGAGAGAGAGAGAGAGAGAGAGATGAGTGTATGACTGAAACAGAGAGTAGAATCATATGTGAAGAACTGAGGAAAAATAATATTTGTACTCTCTGAGTATGTCTTTGGAGAGGCCTTGTCAAGAGTCCCTGTCAATGCTCCCCCAGCTTGATGATCACAAAACAAGGAAAACGAGCCAA